GTATTAATCTAGCTCTTGGAGATGGAAATGAAGTTGTCCCAAATGGATTGGTAAATATTATAATGACAATAATATGTAAAGTTTTTTCTTAATAAAAACAGATTTTTCTTTTTAGAACGCAACAGTCCAAGGAATTTCCGGTACTGGTTCTCTCTTTGTTGGAGCACAATTTCTATCTCATTATTTTCCTGGCAATAAGGAAATTTATTTACCAACTCCTTCATGGGGGAATCACAATCCTCTATTTAAACTTGCCGGGCTTACAGTCAAATCTTATCGCTATTATGATCCAAAAACGTGTGGTTTAGATTTTAAAGGAGTAATGGAAGATTTATCTGTTAGTACAAGATTCTTTCAATAAAAGGAATAACTATTACTGTAAATATTAATGCATGCATTGGTAAAAAATATCTAAAAGATAAATATTAATCATAAAATTTTATATCGAATTCTTTAAAACTATAACACCTAACGTTTATATACTAATGTAAATGTTTTCTAAATATTAATAATGTGATTTCTAACAAATATGAATAATAATTTCAATTGGGTAGACATTTTATGAGACATATTGCTCATAAAATCAATACATACAGCATTACATGAATTAACATTAATAATTCTGAAAGAATTAATATTTTATCATACTAATGATGTTATCTGTGAATAGAATATTCCTGAGAAATCAATTATTCTCCTACATGCATGTGCTCATAATCCTACTGGTGTCGATCCCAAACCGGAACAATGGGGAGAATTGTCTACTCTGATTAAGAAGAAAAATTTGTTCCCGTTTTTTGATATGGCATATCAGGGCTTTGCCTCAGGTATTTTTAAATGTAATTTATAATAGTATATCTATTACTATACCTTACAATACCTTATAATGTTAATACTAGTGTACTCTAACATTTTTTACAACTTTACTTATTTTATTTTTCTGTAGGAGATCTTACAAAAGATGCTTATGCAGTTAGACTATTTATTAAGGAAGGTCACAAAATTGCTTTAGCCCAATCTTATGCAAAGAATATGGGTCTTTATGGTATGTACAAATAAAAATATACTATATGTATAAATAAAAATTGTATGTATATATATATATATAAGTTAAAAATATTAATTTTTCTTTTATTTCTTTTAGGTGAACGTGTTGGATCGTTCAGTCTAGTGACGTCTAGTAAAGACGAGGCTGCACGCACTTTGTCACAACTAAAGATTCTGATTAGGCCCATGTATTCGAACCCACCCATTTATGGAGCTCGTATAGTTAATGAAATCCTCGGCGCTCCTGAACTGCGAAAGGAGTGGCTACACGATGTAAAGGGTATGGCCGATCGCATCATTTCGGTTCGCACAAAGTTGCGTGATAATCTGAAAAAGAACGGTAGTACCCGTGACTGGTCTCACATCACCGATCAAATTGGGATGTTCTGTTATACTGGTCTAAAGCCGAACGAGGTAATCTTTTTTCCTATATTAATACCTAAATATACTTATGTAATAATGTTTTTTAAATAAGAAAATCAAAATAAGTTACAAAAATAATTATAGTATCATTATGATTAATTATCGGTTTTTATTGTTGATTTGCTAACAGGTAGAAAAACTTACAAAGGACTTTAGCATTTACTTGACTAAGGATGGCCGCATTTCCATGGCTGGTGTGACATCGAAAAATGTAGAATACTTGGCACATGCAATGCACGAAGTTACCAAGTAACTTTTGCTACTAATTTGACAATTAAATATACTATCATTTCACCTGAAACCGCCCTGCCAATAGATCATGATAATATATAGCGCTCACAATCTATTTTATTGTATACAAACTGAGCAACTGGAAGTAACAATTTTGATCAAGATAGAAAAATATATAGAAAACCACATAGCACGGATATGAAATGAATCTTTTTTAAGTTTATACAGTCAATATTCATTTTGATTTATATATGGTAAATATACCAAACATCCATTCGATTTTTAAATATTTGCGAATAACAATCTGCTGTTGTGCAAAGTAACATCTTGTACAACAGTAAATAATTGGATATCAATTATACACAGTTTGATATATATATTTGTCTGTATTATTAATGTATACATTTAAATTAAAGAATTATTTTTTTATTTTTATAATAGTTTAGATATTTTAATATCAATGATAAGTATATATATTTTGACATTTGTCTTTAAAAAATTTTTTGTATTATATATCTGCGCTGTATGGAGATGAAATAATTGTATTTTATATAATTCGTATTATAATGCGAATATTATAATGTGAAATGCGAGTGAATAGTACGAATTGTGAACATTCAAATGTTGAACATTAATCGCAGCTGTGTATATTAGATTCCAGTAGAAAATGCTCGTTTTGTGCAATCCATTTTTATATCTAACTTTTAATTTAAAATTTTTTATTCTAAGAACATTGAGATCGAACATTTCCTCTATTCTAAATTCTTTTTGCGAGAGATGTCCATATTTAATTGTGAATGATACAAAAGTGTCTCATTCTTTTTCATTCTAACATTTGTGAGAAAGATAGGAAACAATGTGATATATGAGATAGCACAAAGTTTAAGTAAAATTAATAGACTTAGAATAGAGGAAAATTTTTAGAATAAAAGAATTGAACTGTGTTTTATATTATCACCATTTATAAGCATCTGAAAAGCTTTATTAAAGATACCAAGTTTCTTGTAAAGTTCATATTGTAAAGAATATAGTATATATAAAGATCGTGTTAATATTTTCCTCACTTACTGTCTTATTTTTCTGCAATTTAAACATGATTACATTTAAAAAAAAATGCAAGTTTACTGTAATTGTATACTTCGTTTTTTACACTATTATGTATATATATATATATATATATATATCTTTATAATGTATATATTTTTTTTCTACATATTTTGTGCATAAAGTAGTGAAGTAAGATTATTGAATAATGAAGGTTTTATATTTCGCGATCAAGAAGGAAGTAAAATATTTTATATGTACATATGTACAACCCTAGTAGTAGAATTATTGGCACAATATTAGCTCAGTACCTGATCCTATAATTTTTATGAGTCATTTACAATGGAAGTAATATTGGAAATAATAACGGAAGTAGTAAGTAATAAACCTGTTACGTCCTGCCCTTTCTCCGTAAGAATATAACTTTGCTTTTTTTATTTATTTTATTTTGTCTTTTCGTTTCGTGCTGAATTATTTTCATTATTTAATTTCGCATCGTCTATCTAAGGTATTTCCATTG